ATATATATATATATATGTATATTTACCTTTTCCTCTGAGGGCCTCTTCTGGAGGACTCACAGTAATCCCAAGAACCCTAAAGGGAATTGAATGTCACATTTTCTAGTTTACTTTATGTATTTAGTCTCATATTGAAAATAAATATAACATTATGCAACATATTTCTGCCTATTGAGATTTATACATACTCTGAGGGTTTAGTCTCTTTTTTTGGTTGTGGTGCTGGAAAGAAGACAGGCAGGACACAGTGACATATAGTCACAAACTATTTATCATTTATCAGCTTATTTATTATTAGTCTACTTATTAGTGTTTTCAAGTTATTTAATTGCAGTATATTAAAGTTTGCAAATGAGTGCTTTTCTTACTTTCATCCACCTCAAGCTGAGCATTGCAGAGAGTTTGCCCTGCTTTATTTGTGGCGATACAGGTATAAATGCCAGAGTACTCCAAGTCCACGTCCATCAAGATGAGGCTGTGCTGGCAACCAGAACTTGCTACTTTGTATCCCTTAGTATCAGGCTTGATCCACAAGACGTCCTCCATTGATTTCTCTTTTAGCCATGAGACCATAGGAGTAGGAGAACCTAAAGAAGTAATATATATATATATATGTATATAGGAAGAGCTTGTATCTAAAGCTGCATGAAGGAAAGTGCGTGAGCTGAGCCCAAAACTATCAGAGAAGAGTGTTAGGAAAGGACACAAGCTTACCTTCTACTTTAACAGACAGAGTGATGCTTGATCCTTGTTTCACCTTCCTGTTGCAGAACTTTTCAAGGAAGCGTGGTGGCACCAGGGGCTCCTTGGTGTCTGTGCAACAACAGTGCAAAGATATAGATACCGGTAGATAGCTAGCTTTGTTTGTCCCCATAGGGAAACTGGTTTGTAGCGTTGTCAGCAGGCATTCACATAAAGGACATACATATACAAGCATTCATTAGCATGCATCATTACAGCAAAGAAGTTTGAGCTCAGTAATTCATGATACCTAGGGAGATACATTTTGGATATAGCTTATATATTTAAGTAGCCGTACCTGTACTAGACTTGTCAAATAAATCTTATTACCTTTTTTATCTTTGGGCATAATTTCCCCAGGACCTGTTGGAAAATGTAACAGTTATTATTCCTGTCAGCAGCTTAACTTTAATTACAGGTTGTAGTGTACATTATCCTGTGTTTGTTTGAATTATATTGTCAACTATTTAGGTGCTAGCATACATACTCAATACAATCAGTCGTGCAGAGGTGTAAGAAGAACCGGCTGTATTGCTGATGTAGGCAGAGTACTCCCCCATATCCTCTCGTTTTACCTCCAGGATTTCCACAGCATGAATATCTCTCGTTGTTGACAATAAAATCCTTTTTGATGCTTGTAGAGGCTGGCCATCTTTGAACCAGTATATTCTGGGCTTAGGGAACCCTGAATGACAGAAATATTTAAGAAACATTGTTATAGCTTGTTGAAGGTTACTTGACTGATCACGTTTTGATAACTTTACCTTTTACTCTGAGCTGCAGCTTGGCCATAGGTGAACCTGGACTGACATGAACATCGTGAAGTTCGTCTACAATCTGTGGTAGCTGATCATCCTCAGCAACAGATTCAAAGGTCTCAGTTTCCCTACTTAAATAGAATAGACAATTTGGTACCAAAAGTTTTACAACAGTATTCATTGTGTAAAGGTGTATACATCAAAACTATCAAACACTGTTTATTTATTCACCTGGAGGCATAGCCCTTAGCACTGACGTAAGAGGAAGTCTCAGTGGCATCAGCAGCTGTGTCATAATCTGAGCTGCAAGACACTGATGGAGTAAAAAACAATAATTAATAAACAATGCCTAATGAAAGCATATAACATAATGATTTTTTTATTTATTTTTAAAGCTGAAAGATTGTGACCACATTGTTTAGTCTTGAGACTGAAGAAGTCTTGTGGATAAAAGACAAAATGTTTCAATAAAGAAGAATCCGTCCAGAGTACCAGACTCAACCTTGTTAGATTTTTCTACCTGGATTATTGAGCATTCATCAGGACATATGCAAACAATGTTTACAAAAGTAAGCATGGATACTTGTTTTTAAAATGTATCTTCACTTACAGTCAACTCGAAGTTCAGCTTTAGTGGCAGCAATGCCACTACTGTTTTCAGCTGTGCAACGATAGACTCCCATGTCAGTGGGCAACACAGAGGTAATGATGAGCTGGTGACAGCCCTCTTGGTCTTCATTGATCATGTAATGGTCATTCTCCTCCAGCAGCTTGCCATCCTTATACCAACGAACAGTGGGCGGGGGCTTGCCAATCACAACACAGTCAAAGCTGACAGGATAACCATCTGGAACATCCTGACTTTGTAGCTCTGTCAAGAAGACTGGAGCAGCTGGGTAACAAGAACATTTAAGTTGGTAGGTAAAAAATAAATACAGAGAATTTGAGAAACTATATGTATAGCTAGCTGTACAAACTTGATTAGCAAAGAGATACGGATTATAAAATTTGTTTACATTTTTTTTAGAAGAATTACAACAGCAGAATAACCACTGATGTGTTTCCTACCTGGAGCTCCAGTCATGAAAGCCGGAGGCTGTCGATCTTGAGTGGGTGTCTGCGTACCATCCTGGATGTAACCCATCTTTCTAATTTGCAGCTCCACTTTAGGAAACCCTGCAGGTATGATGGCAGTCTCTACAGGAACTCCATGGATTGTAAACATCTCCTGGAATCTCTTAGAGGCAACCTCAGCTTCTGACTTGGAGTCAAAGCGAATGTAGATGTAATTTTCATCCTCACGGTAGGAGTGAGGGTCTGGGGGACGCAAATCCCCTTCATCTGCGCTGATGAATTGTTCTTCCTCAACATTAGGTGGTAGACGTGTGCGCAAAAGGCGCCTGAGGCGTCTGCTTGCCTGCCTCAGTGACTCATCCATCTCACTACCAGAGGAGCTCTCCGGCTCACTGTCAGCACTGTAACCCACTGTCAGTGGTCGTTTCTCTGATAATTCTCTTGCTGTTCCCACTGTCACCTTAGCACTATGAGAAGCTACTCCAAACTTGTTTGTGACCTCACAAGTGTAAACCCCAGTGTCTTTGGTAGTTATGGCAGTAATGACAAGAGAGCAGGTGCCGTCATTGTAGATATCAATATGATGATGCTTGCCGTCAATCAGAGGTTCTCCATCTTTTAACCAACGCACCTTATCGGGTTTACCTTCTGTCACACATTCCAGATGTATGGTGTCCTTAGGTTCTTTCGTCTGCTCTTTGAAGACATCTTTAAAAACAGGACGCATGTCTCTGCGAGCTTTGTAGCCCTTGAAGGCAGCTTGAATCTTAATGGCAGCATCTGTAAGCTCAGGCTCATCTTCTTTTGTGATCTCCACAATGCTAGTCTCTGGCGTAGATGTCTGTTTTTCGTCTCTTTGCTGAACTGAAGTTGTTTTTGCTCCAGTCTGCTGTACAGTTTTCTTCTCTTCCATTTGAAAATGTGCAAAGAACTTCTCAGTGGCTAGAGTCTCTGCTTCACTGGTTGCTGTGACAGCAGTCGTGCTACTCGTTTTCAGGTAAGACACAAGGGTTGAACCTGCAGAAACACTCTCTTTCTCAGAGCTGACAGACTTGATGGATTCTGTCTGCTTCTTGGACACGATGACCTGATCCTTCTCAACTGGTTTGACCTTTTCTTTCTCAGCTGATTTGACTTCTTTCTCTGATGACTGAGGCTCAGTCTGTCCTTTTTTCTTTTGAACACCTTTTCCATCATCCTCAGGACGTTCAGTGATGGAGTCCAGAGTGGGCTCTCGACTCATGCGCCGCTTTTTGGTTGATGCTTCCCACAACTCATGAAGGTCCCCTTCTTCAGCAGCTTCAGGAGGCAGACTGGGCTGTCCTGGTATCTCTGCTGATTTTACATCTGAACATATGACTTATGAGTGTTAGAGTTATGGGAGACAAAGCACAACGCCTGACAAGTACGTGAAACATCACTGTCTCTATACCATTTAAAACAGTCAACCAGTTACAAATAATAGGTAAATATCAACATTTAACAATTAAATACATTATTTCATTATTTAAAGTGCGTATCACTCACCTAGTTGCACAGTCAGAGGAAGCTCCACGGGCTCTCCAGTCCCAGCTCTGTTGATGGCTGCCACTCTAAATCGGTAGCCACTCCCTGGGATGAGATTTTCAACCACAAATTCTGTGTTGCAAACAGGCTCAGAATGACATGGAAGCCAGAGGGCACTATCTACAAGTCGCATCTCTACTCTGTAGCCCAGAATGGGACTCCCTCCATCGTGGAGAGGTGTGAACCAAGACAGTGTGACCGATTCTGTAGTCTTGCTGAGGACTTCTGGCTCCTCAGGAGGATCAGGTACAGCTGTTGGTGTAAAAGAACCAAAACTATGATGACCTAATGAACACTGACAATAAGTCATACATAAAAAACAACAGTTCAAAAGTACTGAAGCAGCAAAAACTACAGACATGGTTACTGGTAACAAATAGTAAAATCATATCACTTACTGATGATTGTAATGAAGGCCCAAGCAAAAGCATTTTTAGCAGTGAAGGTAATTTCCTGCCGGGGCATAAGAGGGGCCCGTCTCAGGACAAGATAGTAAGAGCTGCCTTCAGCCCTCATGGCCCAGTGGTCACTAGGCTCTAACTCAAGTCCATTAGCACACCAGAGCACTTTTGATGCAGGGACAGGCTCATTCAGTTTAACACAAAGCTCAACATCCTCTCCCACTGCAACCACTTTGTCCTCCAAATCTGTCACAATCTCTAGCTTCAATTCTAATGACAAAAAGACATTAAACAATATGTATCACATAGGAATCTGTAATTTAATCAAGATAAAATTGTAACTACAGGTGTAAAGTTTTATCTAGATTTGAATGACTAACCTTTGACGGTGAGCTGGGCAGTGGTGGAAGCTGTACCAGCTTTAAAGGTCACTGTGCAACTGTCTTCAGCACACAGCTCTTTCAAGAGGAGTAGATGGCGACGACCACTTTCAAACGACACAACTTCAACCTTAGAGGATTCTTTCACCGGTTTTCCATCACGAAGCCAGCAGCAACATTTAATCTCAGGGCGAGACAGATCACACTCAAAAAGTGCTTCACCTCCAGCAAGAATTTCCACATTCTCCAGGCCTTGAACAATGTGAATGGGTTTGACTGTAGAGAAGGAAATAAAATAAAACAATGAAGCACATTTATAGAATTTAAAACTGCAAGTTTGTGAATGTCACATAACTAAAGCTTTTGTCAACAAAGGGCTCAAATTTTGTGATGATCGGTAAAAGATCAGTTTATTTGGTCAAACTATTGTTTGACATAGCATAAAAGATTCCCTAAAAGCTTATCCTTTTTTTTTCCATGTGGAGGGAAGCTCACCTTCCACATAAAGTGAAGCAACCACACAGGCGCCCTCTGCCTCACAGGAGTATGTTCCCATGTCTTCAGGAGACACACGGTTAATGTACAAGCGAGCCACATTCCAGTCCTGCTCCACTACCACCCTTCGGCCATGAGGCTGTAAAAGTTGCCCGTCTTTCCTCCACTGAGCCTTGACTGGCCTCGAGAACTGGCAGATGAACTCAGCAGGTTGGTTTACAATCACCCAAAGGTCCTCCATATCGTTCACTACTTCGACTGTAGGATCTGAGGTTGGAGTCAGGGTGAGGAGTTTAGGGTAAGGGTTTGGAAGTTAAAGGAGGTTTTATTGTCAGGACTTGGCCATGAATTGAGGATATGACAGGCACATGCCAAATGACACATAGCCTTATAACCCCCCAAGGCATGCTTGATGTCCGCTGACATTTTATGGATTAAAAATTTATGTGACCAATGTACTGAAATATGTGAACTTACAACAGTACTTGGAACTATAAGAGGAGGGGGTGATAAGTGGACAGAGTAACAATGACAAACTCTATTTTTGTAGTTTTTAGAGGGTTAGAGATTTTATGAGCTCGAATGTTAGGGATAGCGCTATGTGCAAAGAAAGATGGATGGAGCATCTGGCCAGTGTGGATGGGTGGAGCAGCACTTTTTAAATAAAAAATAAATATATCATTCTGAGAAACTTAAAAAAAAAAAAAAAAATCTGGATCAATCAAAACGTAGCACCCAGTCCCTATAGAATTGTCTTTACTTGATTTAAGTACCAGAGGATACAAACCATTAGGGCTGCACTTCTAAGCATTTTACAATCAACCTTACTTTGTAGCTTTTTAAATTAAAAAGTGTAGGACTTACAGCATTCACTGTACTTATTTACTGGAACCAAGCTGGAAGGTTATTGCTGCAAAATTCTAATGAATTCCAGACAGCTGTTTTGTGGGTAAAGATTACTAGTGAAGATATCAGTAAAGTAGCACTACATTAAAATTTAAATCAAGAAACACACACAAAACACACACAAGATGCCAGTTTTATAAGCAACATAATGAGCACCTGATTGAATTTTACTGCATATTTAACTGGAAACAAGTCATAGACGCAATAACAAGCTTAAATGTGAAAAATCATATGAAACAAAAATTTTGCATGAATTTTTGTAATTTATACAAAAGCCCCTCTATAATGGAAGGTGCTACTTTACATAATCTATTGGGTTAGGGTAAATTCTGGTACTGACTGCAAATATTGGTCACAATATATTAATATAATTTTGTTCAATCTTTAAAATAAACACTGTATTTTACACAGCATCATACATTTAATCTAAATGTCTGTACATTTTTGCTTTAATGTGAAAGTGATAATAAAAGTAAAATTTTATCCCCCCCCCAAAAAAAAAATAATTTATGATGAGATTTAAAAAGTGGTAAACATAATCGTGATTAAAATTTTCCATTTCAGCAGCCCAAACAAAAATATATTAACAAGAGGGAGTTCAAAAAAATGTCAAAAATTGTAACCAAATTCTGATCAATTCTAAAAGTTCTTGTGGTGCTGCACCCAACTCCATGTCTTGATAAACACAAAGCATACAACACGAAACTGATTATTAATAAAATCAGAAACAACGTGGCTCATGCATGATGATGCAATAAGATGTGAAAAAGTATTAAATCAAAGTTTTGCAGAACCCTGCAGAAAAGTATTTGCACTTATGTCAATGTTTACTTGTATTGGTTATTGAGAAATTACTTTTATTCAAAGTATTAATTTTTTTGTAAGTATTATGAGTAGTTTCACTGAAAGTTACAGTTACAGCAGCAAGTTATGAATATTCTATTCATTAGCTTTTAAATAAAATACCTGAATTGTGCAGGGTTAACAAGGCTAAGACATCTGATTGGAATACCTTTGACTAAAAGCTTGGCCGTTGAGGTTAAACTGCCTGCTTTGAAGGTGACAGTGCCAGAGTCATCTGTTGCCAGGTTCTTAAAAGTGAGTGTGTGGATGTAGCCTTGCTCCTGCCCTATCTCAATAGAAGGGCAGTTCTCCAGCAAGGTGCCATCCAGCCACCACTGCACTCTACCTGGCACCCTATCGGACAGCTGGCAGGAGAAAGTTGCCCACTCCCCAACAAAGACGTCAGTGCTCTTAAGACCAGAAACAATGAGGACCTCTTTTACTGTTGAGTGAAAAACACACATATGCATACCCTTAGGCTTTCTGACATAAACAAGACATTTTAGCAGACAGACAAGGACATGTTCAAGAGAACTATGGAGAGGCTACCTTGCACTGCCAAAGAAGCTGTAGTGAGCTGGTCTCCTGCATCACAGGTGTAGTAGCCACTGTCCTCTGGCTCCAGGTTATGTATACAGAGCTCCTGAATGCGCCCTTCCTGTTTCATGGCGTACTTTTTACTCGGCTGGAGGACAACACCTCCTTTTCTCCACTCAACACGAACATTTGGCTTAGACAGCTCACAATGCAGGGTAATATCATCACCCTCTATAGTGTCCTGGTTCTTGAGCTCTTTCTGGAAAAACACTGGAGTACCTGGTGAGTTTGAAATGGTAAAGTATGATATGAGATACTGAGATGAAAATGTATGATGTCAAGTGAAGGCAATGATGAAAACAACTTTCATGAGGATTTTTAACAAAACTTTTGCTGTTATGAAAGAAATTGAGTTTCAATAATTCTTCTGTTATTTAATCCAAATTTTATTCAGTCTTGAATTTGACACAGAAGGGGTTGTATTTTACCTTGCACAGTCAATGTGACATCACACTGTGCATCTCCAGTGTCACAGATATATGTTCCTGAGTCCTCGAGCACCAAGTTGTGGATACAAAGCTGATGGAACGCACCGTTCTTCTTCAGGTCATACTTGAGACCGGCTCGGATGGCCACTTTGTTCCTAATCCAGTTGACTGTGGCATTTGGGTCCGAGATGCAGCAGGCAAGAGTGACCGTTTCCCCCTCTAACGCCACAGTGTTGTGTGGCTTCTCTAATATCAGCACTGCAAATATGAGGAAGACATGATTTATATGCAGTCTTTTCTCATCCTCTATGACTCCGTCATCAACTGTCTGATCAACTTTACAAATCCATTAGTATGTGAACTAATTACTCTATCCTGTCGCAAATCTTAATCAAATAATTCTGATGTTCAAAGAGGTTAAGAAATGCAGTAAATATTTAATGAATTTGATATTAGATATGTACTAATTTGATATATACTATCCTACTTCAAGACATGGAGGTAGAGCATTTAATTAATCTCTTAACTTAAAGTAATCGTCATTATTTTATCAACAAGGCTTTTTAAATTACAGTGTATTTAAAGTAAAAAATATATAAAGATTATTGATGATGATTAAAAAACTGTTTAGCTGTTGATGAATCTAAAAACTTCCTAGTGACCATGTCATCTTATTTACCTTTAGGTTTCTCTTCTACCAGAAGGAAAGCCACAGTCTTTTCGTCTCCCACTACAAAAGCAACATCGCCCGATTCATCTGAGGTTACCATCTTCAGGACCAGCCGGTGCACTCTGCCATGACTGCTCATTTGGTTGAGATCATTATTTTGAAGGAGGTTGTCAGCGAGCCACCATTCCCCATTGGTGACGCCAACATGTGACAGCTCAACCTCAAAGACGGCATCCTGGCCGGTGGTCACAGTAATATCGCTGAGCTCCCGGACAATGCGTACATGCTCTGAGAGTGAATGGGAGGTCAGAAGTCAGATTTGAGCAGGTCCTCTGAAAACTATCACTATGAAGTCTTATTTATCAGCAAAACTTTGATGATAAATTTAAGTTTGCATCTCCTTGTAAATGTTTGATTTCATAAGAATGAATGCTAGGTATGTGCTAATATAAAGATCACTAATTTTAGTTGTACTAAATATATTTATTTATGCAGCAATTAAAAAAATATACAAGCTCTTTAATGGAACGTTTTTTTTTTGTGGTAGTATATTACCAAAATATGCAAATACAGTCTCAGATGAACAACATGATATACTGTATTACATTTTGCCATTTGTTACGAAAAAGTATTTAGTCATTAAAACAGTAAATACCATAAGTTGGTGAATTGTAGCAACTGTCTTGAAATTTTGTTGCTACGTCTTTCAATTGATGTCCTTTTTCAAAGAATCAAAAAAAGTCAGTTTGCCTTTTATTCAGGCACTTACTCCTGCAAAGCTGAGATATGTAGCTGGTGTATAATAACCAATTAATTGCCATTCATTATCAACACATAGCTGCAATTTATATTTTTTCCCAAATATTTTATTTTACAGTTTTTTAAGTACTGATGTGACACATTTGTGTTAATCTGTAAATGTGCTTTTTTTTTTTATCGTAAAACTTGATTGGCACCAGATTAGTTCATTTATATGTTGATACATAAAACTTTAAAAGTGGGGACTACACTTTCTTTCTCTTGTGACTGTATATATGCAATACTTCAATTCACTGGTTTTGCTGAAAATCAACAAATGTTGAGATTTCTATGATGCACTAACAGAAATTGAGTTGACTTCCATCATATCAGATTGAGGCCAAATCTGAGAAATCCCTGTGAATGTAATCTTGAAATGCTGTTATTTTTTCCTATGACTATAGATTTCAACAAGATTAAATGTTTAGTGGGATATATAATTTTAATTGGAAGCTTTATCATGAACTGGTTTGTAAAACGAACTTCAATAAAGAGAAAGATGGATGATGAAGACTTGCTCAGTTACCTTTTACAGTCAGGATAGCCGTGCTTTTTCTGTCTCCTGTATCGCAGGTATATTCACCACTATCCTCCATGATTAGCTTGTTTATAACGAGGCTGTGAGTGGTAGCTTTCTGCTGCATGGTATACTTCTCGCCCTGAGAGAGTACTGTTGAGCCCTTCCTCCAGGTAACCTTGCAATCAGGGCTGGACATTTCGCAGGACAGTGTGGCCTCACCTCCTGCTCTGGCTTCTTGACTTTCCAGCTCCTTCTTGAAGGTTATTGGGGCCGCTGCCAGACAGACCAACTTATTAGGATGAATAATTTAAATGTTTATTAAGTTTCAATGATGAACTTGGTTTCCATAAAATACATGACGGGCAAAGGCATTATTTACTACAACGGTGCAACACATTTAAACGCATGGCATCAAGACACATGAGACAAAACATGTAAAAAGCTCTTAAGACAATCCATCCATCCATTATCTTTTACCTGCTTCTTCCATTTTGGGTCACAGGGGTCGCCGGTGCCCATGTCCAGCAATCACTGTGCGAGGGGCGGGCTACACCCTGGACGGGTCGCAAGTCCATCACAGGGACACACAGAGACAAACAACCATTCACTCACTCACACCTAGGGACAATTTAGAGTTACCAGTCAGCCTAACATGCATGTTTTTGGTCTGTGGGAGGAAACCCGAGTACCTGAAGAAAACCCACGCATGCACGGAGAGAACATACAAGCTTCACCCAGAAAGGCCCCTGGACTGGGATTTGAACCAAGGACTTGCTCCCTGAGAGGCAGCGGCTCCACCAGTTGTGCCATCGTGCTGCCCCTCTTAAGACAATATTTCATCTAAAATCAACCAACCAGATAAAAGAACCTCTGAATTATAAATCATAGAACATCCATCCATCCACCTGTCCATCCATCCATTATCTTTACCCACTTCTTCCTTTTCAGGTTGTGGGGTCACTGGTGCCCATATCCAGCTGTCACTGTGCAAGAGGCAGAGTACACGCTGGACAGGTCACCAGTCCATCACAGGGACATATAGAGACAAACCAGACAAACAACCATTCACTCTCTCACTCTCACCTAGGGACAATTTAGAGTTACCAATCAGCCTAACATGCATGTTTTTGTTCTGGTAATAGGAGTACCCAGAGAAAACCCACGCATGCACGGAGAGAACATGCAAACTCCACCCAGAAAGGCCCCTGGCTGGGATCAATCCAACAACCTTCTCATTGACAGGCAGCAGCTCTACAAACTGCACCGCCGTGCCCAACATAGAATAATGAAGTCTTTTATTTCAAAATAAATGTTTTTGTGTTAGGAAAAACAACAGTGCCAAGATATAATTTTATTACTAAACAAAAGTTAAAAGATGGATGTTTTAAACTCAAGCTGAATAAAAAAAAAAAAAAAAAAAGACTGACCAAGCACATACTGTGGAAATACAAGAGCAGCCTGAAAGAGATAATAAGATATGTGAAATGGATCCAATAATATAAAATGCAAAAGGGAGGTGCTTGATGAAAAGAAACAAATGTCTTCAAAAACTCACGAGTGGAATTTGTTCCATAAGAAAACAAAAATCTAGAACAAATGAGCCAAAAGTCTAAAAGTACTGTTGAAGCAAATGCTCATTCACATCCCATGAAATAAAACAACTCCTGTCCCCCTTACCTCTGACAGTCAAAGATGCCGTGGACATGTGGTTTCCAACAGTGAAAGAGATAGTTCCAGAGTCAGCTGCTGTGAGACATCTAAGTGAGAGGCTGTGCACCCGACCCTCAGCTTTGATCAGGTTCATTTCATTGTTCTGCAGCGGGACGTCCTGGAGTTTCCACTGGACCTGCGTCTCCTCATGAGACAGTTGACACTCAAAGCGGACATCTTCGCCCTCTTTTACGACACAGCTCTCCAAAAACTTCAGTATAGTAACCTCAGCAGCTGTTTGACAGAATCATTTCAGCACAAATTTGATAAAGATGAAGTGGCAAAAAATTTCTACTGAGTTGCTGCCATGGGAACCAAGAAACAAAGGGGGTCTAGTGTGTTTACATTTGTGAAGAAGAAGAGACAAATGATGGGACAAGTGTTCAAGCACCATGTTGAAATGTGAGAACAACCAGAGGTGATGTTAGGTAGTGCACAGAATTAGAAGGGAGTTTCAATCATTAAAGTGATGTCTAAAATGATCATACATCATAATCATGCTCAGATGTTGCTTTGTGAGATGTCAACAAGACAAAGTGATGGGGACAGGAAGGTGAAACACCAGAAAAGTGTTGAGTAAAGAAATCCTACCCTTCACAGAGAGGACAGAAGTCGTCTTCTGGTAGCCTGTATCGCAAGAGTATTCTCCTGAGTCTGTTTCCTGCAGTTTATAAATGATTAGCTCGACCAGAGTCCCTTCCTGTTTCAGATGATATTTGCTACTAGTTGTGAGCAACTTGTCACCACATCTCCACACCACATTGGCTCCTGGCTTTGTGATTTCACAGCGAAGAGAAGCAGTTTCTCCTGCCTTCTTTTTAAAGCTCTGTAGCTTGGTTTTAAACAGGACAGGCTTGGCTGTGGAAAGTTAAAGAAATGAGCCAAGTTTAGGATAAACGACAGCAAAAATAGATTTTATCCACATTTTAGTCTTCCACCCAAATCAAACTACAGTGTTGATGACAAGGGAAGCATGGAAGCATAGGTGGAAGTAATGTTGTACAGATCCTTATGAGTTTTCACTCTGAGTCAGTCTTCTAGGCTTGAAAAACAATTCACTCAAGTATTGTCACAGCACAGGTACGCGTACCCTTCACAGCAACTTGTGCAGTGCTTTGACGTTCACCAGTGTCACATATATAACTCCCAGAATCCTCTGGATCTACATTTTGAATTAGTAGTGTAGCCAGGTGTCCTGTTTGTCTAATTTCATATTTTGCACAAGGACAAAGGCCAAGTTCTCCTTTCCTCCACTCCACAGGAGTACACGGTTTTGAAAGTTCACAGTGTAATGCTACACTGCTTCCTTCTTCTATGGTCTGGTCTTCCAACTCTCTCGTGAAAAAAACTGGGAGAGCTAAGGCATAAAAAGAAATAATTGAACTATGATGTAAGAAACAGAAATGATAAAATACACTGAGGTGAAGAGAGATGTATTATGATATTAAATGGCAGACTTGATGATGAAAGATGACATGCCATAAATGTTCAGTGCATACCGTTTACTACAAGAGATGCTGAGCTTAGTGAAGAGTCCTCTGAACAGCACAAATATGTCCCCGTGTCTCCAGGTATCAAATCAGTGATTTGTAGCTCATAACTCAGTCCTGTTTGTTTCATGTGGTACTTTTCCCCACAACTCAGGATTTCACTTCCTTTCATCCACTGTACAGGGAGTCCACATTTAGAAAGCTCACAAATAAGAGTGACGGTATCTCCCTCCTCACATACTTGGCTGTCCAGATCTCGAATACATACGACTGGAACAACTGAGGATTGAATGATTTAAATGCTTTAGTTTATAATTCTAAATTCTAATATGGAAATAGGGCTTAAAAATGATATCAAGATCAAAATGTACCATCTAATGTTCTAAAACATTCGTACATCCACAACTGACTTGCAATTAATGACATCAGCATCCATTCAAAACAGTGGAGTGACCAACATTTGAAAAATGTAAAAATTAAATCACAGGTCTGAACTTCTTCTTCATTAACATTCAAACAATATGGAGGAATTTCACAAAATAATAACTGATGAAAAAAATATATCGGTAGTTAGGCTAGATACATTCCACACACACAAATAAAATCTAATTTGAAAAGACAACGATGAATGAATACATCGAATGTACAGAAGTCACTGCACACACTCAACTTTTGTAGGCATCAGGATGACATCAGGATGATGTGAGTCAACAGTTGCCAGTTAGAGTTTATTAGTAAAACCTAAACTGAATGACTATGCAACTTCCAACTCAGTATTCAGTCAAATAAAGTCCAAACCTATATGGCAAGAAATATGATTGCCTGAATGAAGATAAAGATTGTAAATGGTGCGACATCCACTCACTTCTAAAAGTACAGCTATTAAAAGTTTACAATATTACAAAGCAGCCAGAATTTACTAACCAAAGACTACCTCTAAAAATTCCCTTGTAGTATATATATTTTTGGCAGCTAGAGTATGTAAGGGAAACTAGTTGGTATTCAGCTGGCTGTAACATGCAACGTCATCTACACACTTTCTACACAATTCAATTCAATACAATTTAGTTACTTTTAATAGCGCCAAGTCACAACAGAAGTCATCTCAAGAC